GTTGCAGGAGGACGTGGATTGTGGTTCCAGTCTTACTGAAAGTCCACCCAGCTGCATCACCTGGCAAGGTGGCTGGGAAGACTTCACCTGATTTGCCTCTCATTCTTATGAACCAATGCCGGCATCTTTTTTCTCCACACAGGTGGGAACACAGTGGATGGGACTATGTCCGGACACCTATCATTGGCTCCTGTGGCACCCAAGAGCAGGCGGTGGTACTAGACCTTCCAGACATCAGTTGTGGAAGGGTAAGATGAGAAGAAGGGTAATGAGGGGACTATGCTATCAGACAGGAACAGCTATATTGAGGGCAGGATTCCAGGGGAGAATGTGGAAGTCCAGCCAATTGATGGCTCCAAGAACTAAAAGGGTATGAAAGGTTGGGGAAATCTGGTAGAATCTGCCAAACCATTGATCCTGAGAAACCTTTCTCCCAGAATACCTCTTTTCTGCACAGGTTGGATCAGTGTTACTTAAATGCAAGACTCCTGGGGGAAGGGAAGGAAGTACCATAACTCTTGAGGGTGAATTTCTCTGGTTTTCTTTCAGACCCGAAGTGGTGCGGGATGGAAGCGGATCCTGCGTTCGCTCTGCTATTCCCGGACCAGAGTGCCACTGCTCGCAGCCATTTACTTTCTAATGGTTCATGTCTTGCTACTTCTGTGCTTCACAGGCCATTTATAAACTTTGTTGAACACTTTTTGGCCCATCTCTTGAATCATGGAACTCTCTCGCCGTAACATCATACCCATTGGTTCCAGTGGAACAGCCTTCCCACTTACAGGTCGTCTCTCCCACTATCCCTGGGAAGTGCCAGCAAACATAGTAGTGGGTGGATATGTGTACAGGCTGCAGCTTCAGGGACCACCAAGCAAGTCTGTTTTCTCCTACTGACCCGGTCCCACACCTAGTTTGTTGAGCCAGGATTTGTTCAGATTTTGCAGGGCCCTGGTCATCTTGTGTAGTCTTATAACGATGCCGAGGGGGCATCTTTCAGCCAGGAAGATAATTCCAGTAAATTCAGTAATCTGAATTGTAGCATCATTTTAATTGATAACTTTTTTCTTTGCCTCATTGCACACTATATTTTCTCCTTCATGGGGAAGATGCTGCTGCCACATGCCACATGCCACAAACAAAGTTCCATGAAATGAACATGTCACCTGATAGGACATCTTATTACTTCTCTTGCAGAATTGGGTAAGAGCTAAAGAATTTCCTAGGGCCTAGCTTGGGTGCCAGGGGAGGGTAGCATCTCCTTCCTGGCTATTGTGACATACTGGGAATGAGAATTTGTGGCTCTGGACTGTACCGATAAGACCCCATGGTCTGGGCCCCTGATCTGATCTCATGTATACTAAGGTATTCCATGGCCCATACCTTTCACTGAAAAGCTGGAAGACTGGCTACAGACTGTGTGACTCGAATTCTTGTCATTCCTGTGTTATCTGACTATGCCTTGAATATGCTCCCTGTTACCAGGCCCTGGGGCAGCAGGAGACAACCTAGGTGAGGTCCTGACTCTCAGCCAGGCCTTGTCTGACCCCCGTGATTACACGGCAACTCCGGGCTTTTTGAAGTACTAAGCTGTTTTGCTGTTGATGACGGTTATTTCAATCTCAGTCCCATATGCATCTGCCACTTTTCCTGAGACAAATGGAAGGAGAATATAGGGAAGAAGAACTATTTAAATCTAGATATCAGCCAGGATTGAATTCCATTTGTGCCTCTTCCTTGTCCTGCTCTCCTTCCACATTAGCTATTGTGTTCCTACCTGTTCTTACCACCCAAAGAAGAGAGAAGACTGATGGACTGACTGTTCTGATCTAATCCTTTGCTTTCAGGTGACCAAGTCATGGTCACAGCATTCTAGGAATGTTTCTGAACAACTGTAAAATAATAAAATTATTTTCAGAATGAAGAATTGTGTTGTTGTGTGAATGTATGTGTATATGTTGTTGTTGTTATGTGCCATGGAGTCGATTCCGACTCATAGCGACCCTGTACAGGGTTCCTGAGGCTGTAAATCTTTACGGGAGCAGAAAGCCTCATCTTTCTCCTGCGGAACAGCTGGTAGTTTCAAACTGCTGACCATGAGATTAGCAGCCCAATATGTGTGTTTCCATGCTGGAGGGAGTGGAGGAAGTAAGTAGGAAAAAAAGTTCAACATGCTCAGGTCTCCTTTTCACTGGCTGATATCAGTAATAGCTGCATGGTGTCCTTGCAGCCTTATCCACTAGAGCCTGAGTGAGGAGACAAAGTATGAGAGAGGAAGTTTGGCCATCTTGGCCTCCAAGGAGCACTCTGGCTGCACTTCTTCCAACACAGATCTGTTTGTTCTTTTGGCAGTTTCAACCACTCATCTGTCAGTTTGTTGTACTGTGGAGGCTTGTGATTCTGGAAGCTATGTCACAGGTATTTTAAGCAGGGTCACCTATGGTGGACAGGTTTCAGATGAGCTTCCAGATGAACTAGGAAGAAGGAGTGATGAACTACTTCCGAATATTTAGTCACTGAAAACCTTATGAATATCTAAAATGAGGGGGTGATAAAGGCATGAAGTGACTGGCTTACAAGGTTTTAAGAGGGAGTTTAGTTTAAGGGTGTGTGGGGGAAGAGAGAGTCTCCATTGAATAATTTTCATCTTGTCTAGATGGGTCAGGTTATAAGAGATGGGGATAAGAGTCTTATGATTCAATAGTGAATAATTGTTATCATGACTAATTGCGACTGTCACAGTTGTAAAGGTAGAAGTTTTGTAAAAAAAAACGGGGGAGTAGTCAATCTTATAGTCCAGAAACAACGGACCCCAGGCCCATCAAGGGAGAAGAGCACAAGAGGAATGTGAGACCTTATCCAGAGAAGGAGATGGAGGCAGAGATGGGGATATGGAAAGGGGGAGCAGCTGAGGACTCTATAGATTCATAGTAAGAGAGGGACTGAGAGCTGGCAGCCAGGAGGCAGACTTGCAGAATGTGCCCTTTGGTGGTGTAAATTATTATATATGCCTATATATGCCTGAGTGTTTAAAAACAAAACAAAAAGCAAAGTGAATAGAGAGAAAGACTTAACTGATGGGGTACATGGAGGGGATTAAAATGATTGTAATGAAACCAAGTATATGATTTTTTTAATGTAACATTAAAGATCTGCCCTGTAAGCTTTCACTCAATTGACAACAAAAACTTAAAAAAAAAAAAAGGTCAATTTGTGCAACATAGTCCACAAACAAAATGTTCCACATACTATTTTATGGAATAGTGACTGAGGTCTTAAAAGCTTGTGAGGACCCACCTAAGGTGCAGCTATTGGTCTCTCCCCAACCAGAACAAAAAAGAGTGAAGAAAATAAAAGATTTATGGAAATAATGAGTCCAAAGAGCACATATTGTTTACCTGTGGGAAAGACTAATGGACCATGACCCTGAGACCAGAAGAACTAGTAGTGTTTGACTTCTACTACCAACCATTCTGAAAGGGATCATATTCGAAGGTTGGATAGAATGGAAGAAAAAGGTGGAACAAAACACAAATTCATAAGAAAAGACCAGGCTTACTGGTCTAATAGAGATTGGTGAACCTCACAGACGATTGCCTGTACTCACCCTGCAGGCCTGGAACTGAACTCTTTCTCATGACACAATTTTCAGTCAAATAATAGGCCTACATTTGTTGTTAAGTGCCGTCAAGTTGGTGCCAACCTTGTATCATAGCAACCTTGTATAGTTTCTGAGGAGTGGCTGGTGTGTTTGAACTGCTAACCTTGCAGTTAGCAGTCCAGGACTTAATCCTACAGTCACACCAGGACCCCAAGGTGAACACTAATACTAGGAACATAGGCTCTCCTTGGAATAATCAACCAATCAATAAAAAAAAAAAAAAAAAAAAAAAGGGGGGGGGTGAGCAGCATTTGCCCAAGGTCAAATGTCAGAAAGCAGAAAGGATTCAGAAAGGAGGAATGAAAATGGAAGACGGAGGAAGTAGAATAAAAGATGTTACCTTAAGGAATTGCAATCAATGACATGAAACAAAATGTATATGAATTGTTGAATGAGAAACTGATTTGGTCTGTAAATCACTTAATTCACAGTAAAAAGTTTTTGTTTTTGAAAATCGTACTCTTCTACATCTTGATAAAATTACTCATCCTTTTAAATGATCACCACAACCATCGCTGAGGCACTGGATGGTATGGTTAACATACTTGACTGCTAACTACAAGGTTGGAAGTTTGAGTTTACCTAAAGGTTCCTTGGAAGAATGACCTGGAAACCTAAGGGGGAAAAATACCCCAATAAACTAGCAATTGAGAACCACATAGAGCACAATGCTTTGCAGACATGCATGGGGTTGCCACTAATCAGAACAGCCCATCCCAAATTCTTCTCTGAATGCCTTTACTATGACAGATGCAACTGCCCACCAAATTTAGGACACAAATGCAGTCCACTAGTACGCCTATGAGTTTTCTGGTTGAATGTTTTTTTTTTCTACCCTGACTAGGTTATAAACTCAGAATAAGAGCATTGTCTATGACTTCTCCATGTTCCTCCAAGTCTTGCAAAAAAGTAGGCACAGGGGCATTTAATTAATCATTTTCAATTTAAGTCCTTAAACAGAAGGAACTGACTCAAACTTAAGGAAGTGGCTGTGAGGAGAGGGTAGCAGGAAATGACAGCAAACCTGAATACGGAACTGAAGCAGAAACTCAGTTTCTTGATCTGAGTGGCAGGCAGCAGCCAGAGACGGAGTCTTGTGTCCTGGTCGTGAGGAGCTGGGATCTGAGAGCAGACACATTGTTGGAGGTGGGTGCGCTGAGAAACGGTGGGAAGGAGGGGAGAGAGTTCGGAGAGCATGAGTGGCAGTCACTGGTGGGGGTGAGTGACAATGGTATTAGCTTTTTTGACCTCTTAGAACTAGAAGGGCAGGATGTGAGTGACTGTGGATAATGAGCATCTGGGGATGGAAACAGAGAAAGGACTGGAGTCCAGGAGAGCATGGCTCAGTAGCCAGTCAGGACCCCAGACCAAGCAAAGTGTTTCCTGGTCTCTGCTGACATCTACAATCCTCTCTAAGGCCTGCTCTTCCTAGGCACTGAGTTGAGAGGAGGACCACAGGGGAGGAGATGAAGACAAAGTCTCTGCCTTTGAAGAGCTTACGATCTAGCCAGCGAAGCAAAACCCACATAGGAAATGGCGTAACCTATCAGGAAGTACTGGCAAATGTATACTAATTCTGAGAACCAAGTTGAAGGTGTGGTGGTTCAGCTGAGACTATTTTCTGTGATTGCAGGATCACAGGATTCCAGAATATCAGAAACAGCATGTTATGGATTAGCTAAGGTTGACCCCTTCATTTATTTTTCCATTTGGAAAACATAGAATCAATTATTCAGTGATTTCCTAAATTGTTTGAGTTGATATTTGTGAATTGCCTGGACAGGTGCCTGGTGTGTAAGCACATACTTTCTGTTGATTCACTCACCTGAATTCCCACAGGGGTGCTCACAGGTCTTCCGACTCCCAGTCCCTGTACTGTACTGATGCTGTAAGTCAGTCTCCTGCTGAGACTCTTCATTGTATCTAAGATCCCTACCCAACCACATTCCTCTCCAATCTCCCATCTCTAGAAAGAGCACCTCCGGGCCTCCCTGTTTTTGGCCAGTAGGTCAAAGATACCACATTGTCTCTATGTCAGAAAGTCTTCCTTTTATTTCAAGAATGGGTAAAATAAGAGATTTGTGGGAGATCAGGCTGAGGCCTCAGAGGAACAGCAGGAAAAAGGACAGGACCACCGGTTCTCACTACTTCCTTATTGCATATTCATACTTCAGAAACTTCTCCTTTCTAGTTTTCTTTTTTAAGCCCTGTTATTGCGGCATGAGAGACAGACAGATATGCAAGGATGCAGGGTTATAGGTCTCTATCTGCCACTCTCTATAACTGCTATCCTGGCAAAGAAGGCAGAACTGCTCTCGGCACTGATTCACCCCACAGTTAGGTACCTCAGTCAATACTTCTCCAATGGGCTCTCAGCATCTCCTTTCCCCATCTACTCCCAAGCCCTTTTGATGGAGTTTCCAAGAGTTTGGTTGTTCAAAGAACATTGAGTGGAAAAAGAACAGCACCTCTGCCTACACTATCAGCAAGTTGACCTGGGCATGCCCAGCAGAACGATTTCTACCCCTTCAAGCTAGTATATTTCTAGTGGAGATAGAAGAGTTGAAAGGAGAGTCTGAGGGCCTACAGGGACAGACTCACTCCCTTAAAAAACAGCGAAGAGTATGAGATAAGGTCTGGAGATAGGATGAGGTGTCTGACCAGGGAATGATGGGTGGGGAAATTTTCAGCTAGCAAGTGGTGTCAGGGTTGTAAAGTCTCTATGGAACAGGTGACCATTGTCCTCTGTTACACCAAGGTCCAGGATCCCACAGATGCAGAGCCACTATTCAGCCCCTCCTCCTGCACAATCAGCAGGCTGACCTAGGCATGCCCAGCTGAAGATCGATTCATATCCCTTCAAGCTGGTGTTCTCAGTGTTTCTTCAGCATTTATTTACTTAATAAAAGTTTAATGCTTGGTGTGGTGTGGTGCTGTTGGTTAATGTGCTGGACTGCAAAGTCAATTTGAGCCACAAGGTCGGCAGTTTAAGCTCACGGGTTCAAGCTGACCAGCCACTCCTCAAAAACCCTACACAGGATCACTATGGGTCGGAACTGACTCAACAGCACATAACAACAATGTCTCTTGTGTTCAAAGTGTAGATTTGAACTAGTTACCTTCTTTAGAAAGATATTGAATTATTTTTTAAAATTGGAAAGAAATGACCTGTTCCCAGCAACCAGTGCTTCCCCATGCATTGATCAGTGTAAGAATTTCAGCAGATTGTCCCTATTGACCTCATGTACTTGTCCACAAGCGGTCTCAGAGAGGAGGTGAGATGGTATTTGCACTGGGTATAGGGAAAAGCAAAGTGGAGCTGTTGGTCATAATGGTAGGAACTGGAATGATTTCTATTTTGATAGCTATGAAAGATACCATTTGTAGAAACCTGTGCTCTGTGCACCCAGAATCTGCAGTGGTCTTAGCTCCTCACTGTTGCTCCTTCTCACAGATGTCATTCTGTCTTTGAACACCAACCACCGCAAGCTGCTGCCTGACTGGTCTCTAGAGACTGGATTCAGGCAAACAATCCTACAAGTTTTGACATCCAGGTTGTATAGTGCTATAGGATAAGCACTGGACTGCTAAGCAAGGTCAGCAGTTCAAACCCACCAACTGCTCCTTGGAAACCCTATACAGGGTTACTATGACTTGAAACTGACTCGATGGCACTTAACAATGATCCATCCAAGATGACTTCTCTCCAGACTCAGTTTCGTTTGAATTAGCCCTCTGCCCATCCTAAACCGGACTTGTGTTTTTTGTTTGTTTGTTTTTACTGTTGTAGAAATGTTATTGTTAAGGGTCATTGAGTCAGTCCAGACTTAATGTATAGGTTTTTCAAGGAGTAGTTGATGGGTTTGAACCTTAGAGTTAGCCGTTCTAAGTTTATCCTGTATAATATTTGCCAGTTCAACATTGTTTACTTGTACAATGAAACCAATTACATCAATCATGTTGTGTAACCATCCCCCATAACCATTACCACATTTTCCATCCCCAAACCAGAAACACAACACTAATAAACAAAGACACCCCCCCTCTTTCACCATCACTCTGGCTTCTGGTAACCCTGTTAAACTCTCATTTTTATGGATTTTTCCCATTTTAGTGTATTCTAGGACTCCTGGTGTGGTGCTGTAGGATCAACACTGGACTGCAAACCACAAGGTCGGCAGTTCAGACACACCAGTTTCTCCTCAGAAACCCTATACAGGGTCACTGTGCATCGGAAATGACTCAACAGCACTTAGCAAAAACAACAACAAATGTATTCTAAGTGTACTGTGCTATTTATACTAGTAAGATTATACAGTATTTTCTCTTTTTATGAATGATTTATTTAATTCAGCACAAAGTAGCCTAAAACCTTCACCTGCTCTGCCTCACCTTTTAGTCTCTTCACAAAAAATTATCCCAAGAAACATTGGGGCCCTTTTTATTACTGGCATCAACATTCTTTTTCTCTCCACTTTTAATGCTTTTTTGTCCTAATTGTTCCTGTCTGCTGTCCCCCTCAGATGTGGAAGTCTGTAGTTGGGCATGATGTATCTGTTTCTGTGGAAACCCAGGGAGATGACTGGGACACCGACCCTGACTTTGTGGTGAGTTTGGAAGGAGCTTTGATTCAGACAATGCAGAGGGTGGGGGTGGGAGTGGGGGTCGGGGGAGCAGTGTTTGAGCTGCTCTGCAAGCTCTGAGATGTTTGGAAGAGGACAATCTGGAACTGATCCAGCTCTCACAGTGGGGCTGCTGTGAGGATAGTTTGTTGTCATGAGTGGAGTCTCCATGACAGCTGGTGTTGAGAAAGGAAAGAGGCAAGTGTGGAAGAGTGGGCCAGTGTGATTGCCAGGCTATGACAGACTATGCACAGGTTAAGATGGGCTCTATTGATCTCTGATCCAGGATTTGGGGTGACATGTGTGATTTAGGGCATTGAGAAATTCTAAGGAAAAGTATGAGGGATGTAGAACAAGGAGGATTTCTCAGTTCACCAGTTTAATTTTAACTTGGGATAAGAGTGGGGTAGATCTAGAGAGGAACTTGAATAAAGACCCAGACTGAGGGAGGCAGCTGAGGCAGGGCATGTGGGGTACATGTGTGTCAGCTGTGTGGCCCCTAGTGGGGCACATCTCTTCCCATTGCTTATTGCAGAGGGCTGTCTTTTGCAGAATGACATCTCTGAGAAGGAACAACGGTGGGGAGCCAAGACCATCGAGGGTTCTGGGCGCACAGAACACATCAAGTAAGTGACAAAAAAACTGGGGAGATGGAAATGGGTCATAAAGGAAGAGCCAAGGGAAAACTCAAGGATTCAGGGAAGAGTGGGAGGAGAGGAAAAAGAGCAGATATCTTGTGTCTATGTCTGTTTTTCTTGAATCTGCCTCTGTGTATCCCTGCATGTGTTGTGTGTGTTTCTATTCACATCTTCTTATCTCCCAACCTGTTCCACCTGCTCTTCACATTATCGACAGTCGCATTAGCAGGCATTTTTCATGTATGATAATGGTTAAAAAAACACCAAAACAGTACCGACTACTTTGTGCAAGACATCTATCTGGCAGTAACAAACAGATGCGTGGTGAGCATAACACTGGCTGTGATGGATAAGGTCACACGCCTGTAATGGGGTCATGTAACCTGGGCTGTCTGCTTTGGGTTGTTGGTAAGTGCCGTCAAGTCTGTACCAACCCATAGTGACCCAGTATAGGGTTTCCAAGGAGCGACTGGTGAATTTGAACCACCAATCTTATGGTTCAAACTAACCTTGTGGTCCTGCACTTATCCTACAGTGCCACTAGTGTCAGAATATTAAAACTTTGTAAGGTAGGCACAATAAACAGGATAACAAGAGTAAAAATTAAAAGTTAAAACCAACAACTATACCTATGTTGGCAGAATTAATAGTTTTTAGCTCAGTTTAACTTTTGTCCCCATGCTCTACAACCAGGTGTGGCACTCCGTGGGTTAATGCACTAGACTGCAAGGTCAGTTTGAACCATAAGGTCAGTGGTTCAAATTCACCAGCCACTCTTCAGAAACCTTATACAGGGTCGCTATGAATCGGCACCAATTCAATGGTACTTAATAACAACAACAGCTCTACAGCCATGTTTTTACCTCATTTTCCCCTAGATTTTACAACGTGTCAGTGATGACTACACTTCACATGACACTAGAAAATTGGCGTGTATTTATACAATTTGATAACATTCAGTGCTATACATTGTTATGGAGTCCTGGTGTGGCACTGTAGGAGAAGCACTGGACTGCTAACTGCAAGATCAGCAGTTCAAACCTACCAGTCGCTCTTCGGAAACCTTATACAGGGCCGCTATGAGTCAGAACTGACTCAACACCACTTAACAACAACAACATGCATTGTTATTACTTAATCAGATTGTTATTACTTAATCTTACTAAGTAGCTGTAATGAATATTATTCTTAAACAGCCAAGTGATTCTGGAAGCAATCAGAAAGATGAGAAAATGGAACAGGGTCATGCCAGAGGCTTCCTGATGCTCCTCTGAAAGTTCATAGACCCAAAAAACCCCAAACTTCTTGCCTCTTCTGAGTAAAGACCACTCAACCTCAGTATCCTGGGAATTGTTAAAATAAAGTTACCACTAAAGCTAGTTGGCACCTCATGAGTGTCAAGATTTGAGCTTCACAGGGTTTTCAATGGCTGATTTTTCAGAAGTAGATTGCCAAACCTTTCTTCTGAGGTACTTCTGGGTGGATTCAAACGCCAGCTATTTAAGCAGCAGTCATTAATCATTTACACCAACTAGCTACTCCAAGAGGATGCTATAAGCTCTTTTGTAGTTTCCCTCCCAGTGTCTGTTTCAGAAATAACACTTAGGACACTTTAAGTGAGACTTCTGAATCCCTGTCAAGTCTTCTGTGATCATCTGGGCTGAGTTTGGATATCAGATAGATTTAGAGTCATTTATCAGCTCTACTATACTAGCTTTGTAACCTTATACACATAAGCTCCACAAACCTCAGCTTCTTTGTAATCAAATAAGGGTAATAATAACTGCCCTTCAGATTTAGTGTAAGAATTCAAAGAGATTGCATATGTTAATGTTTAGTGCAGTGCTTAGCACTTATTTATCATTATATTTCTTTTCTGTTAATCTAGACTCGTTGAATCTGATTTTCTTCCTAAAAACCCAACAGACTTGCAAACACGTTCCTCATGTTGTGTTTACCAGGATGCTGTTGTTGCCTAACTCCAGTCTATAGATTGCTCTGACGGGTGCTTCATGGATTGTACACTGTGGCGATCCTGGATGTTTCCTTGTGGATCTAACTGGATCTATAGCTGATAGAATAAATGATGCAGTTATTTACATGAAAAGCCCTCTCTTCTTATTTTCCCAGATTACCAAAGTGCAAAAGACCATTCATTGCTAGTAACTAACTAGACTTAGGCAAGTCACCTTTCCTCTCTGATTCTTAGTGTTCCCATCTTGATCAAAAAGACCTCAGAGGACCTTCCAGTGCTAAGTGTTATATTCTGTGACTCTCTCTAGCTAGTGTTGGTCCTCAGAAGGGAGGGGAAGTTGAAGAGGAGAACAGTAGCTGCAGAGCTAAGATGACACAAAGCAGGAAAAGGAAGTGTCTGTGGTTCTCATTAATCTAGCTTCTTGTATGTCCTCCACACTATCATCTCTTCTTTCTATTTTAGCTCTTGTCTTGAATAAATTTAGTCTGGGGCGTGGTTTGATGACACAATGAGTAGTTCAACTGAGTGTCTCCAGCTCTTGAAAGTTGTATATAGGCAACCTAAGCTAAACAGCACCAAGCAGTTTAGTGTTTCCTAGGAACTTCCTGGTCTTCAAAGACCATTACTCTCTCCTCCATCTTTGTCTCGCCAGTCTTGCCCACTCATTCTCTTTGGCACTGATCTTTCCCCTTAATCAATTAAGGATCCTTATTCCTCTAGGAGAGTATATCTCAAATTCTCCATGGTAAAGGACCAGATTGTAGTTGTTGTTTAAATCAGCCACAGACCAATACTTTTGCAAAGCAGAATAAATTACAAATGCTGAAATTTTTAAAAAGAAAGATACAGAAAAAAGATACAGAAAACACATGTACAGTTTTAACTTTAGGATCAATGGGCAAAATTACTATGTCAAATTGCTACAGAAATTTCTAATTGCTTACTCCCAATTTTTATTCTTATTTCATTGTGTAACAAAAATAGTCAGGCTTGTAGACCATGCTTTGGGTAGCACTATTCTGGAAGAATGATTGTTCAGAACTTCCTAAAATCTGGTTTTAGATTAGATCCTTAACTGAGCCATAACTATGGGCTATCTGCCTCAGCAACCCTGTCCATTTATGATGAGTCTATTCTGGATTCTCTATTCCATTTCGTTGATTTATATGTCTTCTCTGACAGCAATAACGCACTGCAGTAATTATTATAACTTTATGATAAATCTTGAAATGAGTTAGTTCTCCAACTTTGTTCTTATTTTTCAACAATGAAGGGGTGTTCTGTGAGAATTTTAGCAATACTAAATAAGTTCTGGTGTGGTGCTGTAGGATCAGCACTGAACTGCTAACCACAAGGTTGGCAGCTCAAATGCAGCAACCGCTCCTCGGAAATTTTATACAGGGTCGCTGTGAGTCGGAACCCACTCGACGGCACCATGTTGCTTTGTAGCTACTCTAAGGGACTATGGTTGTATAGTTGAACTCACACAAATCCACAATCATAAGGATTTTATAATGATAAGAAGAGGTGATCTTAATAAACATTATCATTTTAAAGATCCAAACAAAATCAAACAATTGTTTTTTAGTTCCAAGACTTCATAATTTCACATACATTTAAAAATCAGCTAGATACCTATTCTACCACTCATCTGTCAGTTTGTCATGGTGTGGTGACTTAAATGTTACTGTGATTCTGGAAGCTATGGCACTGGTATTTTAATTACCAGCAGAGTACACCTTGCTATATAGGTTTCAGCTGAGCTTCCTTCTAAGACAAATTAGGAAGAAGGAGAAACAGACTACTTCCAAATATTTAGTCACTGAAAACTTTATGAATAGCAGAAAAAAATTCTGTCAGATAACTCCAGAATATTGAATATTGAAACATAATGATGACACCAGAATATTGTCAGATACGATGCCAGAAGATGCGTCCCTCAGATTAAAAGACACCCAATATACGACAGCAGAAGAGCTGCCTCCTCAAATTACAGTTGACCTTAATGACATGAATGGAGTAAAGCCTTGGGACCTTCATTTGTTGATGTGGCACAATTCAAAACGAAGAGAGAAACAACTGTAAACATCCATTAATAATTGGAGCATGGAATGTACAAAGTATGAATCTATGAAAATTGGAAATTATAAAAAATGAAATGGAATGCATAAACATCCTAGGCAGTAGTGAGCTGAAATGGACTGATGTTGGCCATTTTGAATCTGACAGTCATATGGATTACTCTGCCAAGAATGATAGATTGAAAAGGAATGACCTCACATTCATCATTAAAAAGAACATATCAAAATCAGTCATGAAGTACACCACTGTCTGTGATAGGACAATATCCATATGCCTACAAGGAAGACCAGGTAACAGAACTATTATTCAAATTTATGCACCAACCATTAAAGCCAGTGATGATGAAACTGAAGAATTCTACCAACTTCTTCAGTCTGAGATTGATCAAACATGGAATCAAGATGTATTGATTGAAAAGGTTGGAAACAAAGCAGGAAGGATCAGTAGTTGGAAATGTGGCCTTGGAGATAGAAAAGGAGCTGGAGATAGCATGATATAACTTTTGCAAGACCAATGACTTATTCATTGCAAGTACCCTTTTTAAACAATATAAAAGACAACTAGACACATGGATCTCACCAGATGGAATACACAGAAGTCAAATTGACTACATCTGTGGAAAAAGACGTGCTCAATACCATCAACCAAAACAAGGCCAGGGGCAGACAGTGGAACTGACCATCAATTGCTAATATGAAAATTCAGCAGACTGAAGCAGAAGAAAATTAAAATGAATCCATGAAAGTCAGTATATGGTTTTGAATATATACCACCTGAATTTAAAGATCTGTTCTTCATATGAAGAACAGATTTAATGCATTAGGCATTAAAGACCAAAGACCAGAAGAGTTATGGGATGATATCAAGAACATCATACAGGAAGAAAGCAAAAGGTCATTAAAAAGACAAGAAAGAAGACCAAAATGGATGT